AGTACAAGGAGGAGGGCCCAGGAGGAGGAGGAGGGGGGAGTACTAAGCATGCTATGTATACACGTGTGATGAGCAAGGAGGACGTCTGTCCCCAAAAGCTTCCAGTTTAGAGAGAAAAGAGATGAAGATTACAAAGAAGATAAAGGGACAAACCATGGATAGGTACAGAGGGGGAGGGGGCGAGAGAGGGGAAAAAAAAGATAGGAAGGATGGAAGGAAAAGAAGGACTAAAGGAGGAAAGGAGAGTGGAAGGAAGGGAGAAAGGGATAAAGGAAGGGAGGGAAGAAAAAAAGGAAAGAGTGAATAATGTTACTTAAGTATAGCAAGGGGGAAGAAAATAAGGAAGTAAAGAAAGGAAGGTAGCAATTATAAAGGAAAACAAAGGAGGGAACAGAGGGGACGGAAGATAGGAAGGAAGAGAAAAAGCGGGGAAAAGAGAACGGAAGGAAGAGGGAAAGGGAGAAAATGATGAAAAAAAGAAAGAAGGGGGGGAATGGAATAATGTTACCCAAGCATAGCTAGGGGGAAAAAAATTAGGAAGGAAGGAAAGGAAGGAATGATAAGAGGAAAGGAAGAAGAGAAGACAGAAATAAAGGGAGGAACGGAGGGCGGGAGAAAGAAAGGATGAAAAGGAGGAAGGAAGGAATGATAAGAGGAAAGAAAAGAAGAAAGAGGAAAGGAAGAAAAGAAGAAAGAAATAAAGGGAGGAAAGGAGGAAGGAAGGAACGGAAAGCAAAGATGGAATAATGGTACTTAAGTATACCAAGGGGGAAGGAACAAGGAAGAAATGATAAGAGGAACGAAGGAAGAAATAAAGGGAGGAAAGGAGGACTGAAGAAGGAGAAAAGGGAGAACATGATGAAGGAAGAAAGGAAAGAAGGAATAATGTTATCTAAGTCTACCTAGAAAAGAAAGAAAGAAATTATAAAAGGAAAGGAAGGAAGATGAAAGGAAGGAAGGAATAGATGATGGGAGGAAAAGAGGGAAGAAGGAATAATGTTACTTAAGTATACCAAGGGGGAAGGAAATAAGGAAAGGAAGGAAGGAATTGAGGTAGGAAAGGAATGATAAAGGGAGGAAAGGAAGACGGAAGGAAGAGAGAAAGGGAGAAAATTATGACGGAAGGAAGGAAGGGAGAGAGAGAGAAGGAAGAAAGAAATAATGTTATCTAAGTATACCTAGGGGGGAGGAAGGAAGGAATAATGATGTCTAGGTATACCTAGGGGGA